GCAGGTCGGCGAGGGGCCCCCGCCGCGGCCAGAGCGCGCGGCCCGCCGGCGAGTGCGCAGCTGAGTCTGCTCGTCTCCCGGCTCGCGCAACCCCTGCCTCCCGGGCCTCCGCGCGCGGCATGGCGTCCTTCCAGGTCTTCGCCTTCGGGCTCGTGCTCCTGGCGGCGACGGTGCCGGTGGGCACGGCGCAGGACGGTGAGAGCGGCTCGGCCGGGGTCTGGCGGGCCGGGCGGGGGTCTCGGCGGCGGGCCGGGAAGGCCGAGACGAGGGCTGGCGGCGGCGGCGACCCGGCGACCCGAGCGGCCACCTCGGGGCCCCGGCGGCTAGACACGCGCCCCCTTCCCGGGCGCACCGGCTTGGGGCTCCGGCTCCGGAGCGACTCCGGCAGGCGCGGAGGCTGCGGCGGCGACCACCCACCTGCCCCGACACCTGCGCCCGCCCGACACCTGCGCCCGCCGGATGTGGCCGCGGGCGGGAACAGGTAGCTGGGCGGGCGCTGCGCACCTGCGCGCGGGGCGCTGCCCTCCGGAGTCCGCCCTTCCGGACCTGGGTTTCTCTTTTCTAAGAAACGTGAGTCATGCCAGGTAAATGGTAGGGGACACGGAAATAAAAGGCAGCTGTGGGGAGTACAAATCTCATAATCCCACCATTTCAAGAATTCCAGGGTTAATAGCTGGTCTGTCTTTCTTTTAGATCCTGTTGTAAACATTGCCCTAAACCTGAACATGTAAGCCTGTATTATTTTAATTGTTCCTGCGAGTAGAAATCCAGAATTTTCCATTTCCTTTAGTTTCACACGATCACAGAAACTTCGCTGGTAACGTACTATATAGGACAGATCCCTGAAAGTATAGCCTTTCTTTAGTATTTTAAAACACTTTGAGGGCTGGCGCGAGGGAGGTTGAAAACAGGAGGATCGCTACAAGTCCGATCTGTGTAGTGTGACCCTGCAGACCCTGTACTAAATACATTTAAAAAAAAAAAAAAAAAGTAAAACACTTGGAAAGCCTGGAGTGGTTGTGCGCACCTGCAGTCCCAGAACGCAGGCTGTGGCAGGATTGCTGCGAGTTTAAGGCCAGCCTACGTAGCCATACAGTTTCCAAAAAACAGAAAAAAGAGTAGTTTGATTCTACTGCCTATTCTAGACTAGGCACTTTGGCTGTGGTGTTTGATTTGTGAGGAGGTGCCTAACCCTAAGTTTAATCTCCTTGTATTTTCTAAGTTGAATCTGAGACCATGTACTTTTTTTTTTTTTTTTCTTTTTGAGACAACTTTGCTATCCAATTCAGGCCATCCTTGAATTCACTTTGTAACCCAGGCTGGCCTCAAACTTCCTCAGCTCTTCAGGTACTGAGATCATAGGCGTGCGCCACCATGTCCAGCTAAACACTTTAGGGTACATGAGTTCACAAAAGATCAGTATAAAAATTCTGTGCTATTTAAAAAAAAAATTAAAAAGTTGTGTTGGTACATTTTAGATATACATAATGATCACATTCATCATAGAAAATTTTTACTTGTATATAATATATCTCAACTCTTTTTTCTCCAGTGCCCTCCCTTCCATTCAACTCCTTTTCCCTCATTTTTTTTTTTTTTGTAGTTTGATTTTTTCCCCCATAATTTTATTGAGTCTTATTTTGTTTTACTTAAGTTTATGGAACTGGCAAGCGCTTATTCTACTGAGCCATCTCCCCAGCCCTGGGTACAGTTTAGATATCCGCAATGATCACATTTATCATAGGGAATGTGTACTTGTACATGATACATTCTGTCCAGCCTTTCCTCTCATTTATAAAAGCTTTGCTTCCATTTTCTTTTACTATTTTTCCCCTTTCCTGTTCTTTTTTCCCATCCCATTTGAAGTCCTGCTAGTTCTGTTCATTCTTTCTTAATAATTACACCCCTGGGGCTGGGGAGATGGCTCAGTAGAATAAGCGCAAGGGCCTGAGTTCAATCCCCGGTTCTGGGAAAAAAAAATTGTGCCCCCATAATGGGACATGGTGGTACACACCTGTCATCATAGCACTTGGCAGGTTGAGGTAGGCAGGAAGGTCTCTGTGAGTTCCATTTCAGTATGAACTACATAGTGAGATCCTGTCTGGGAAAAAAAAAAAAGTGAATAAATAAAAGCACTCTTTCCTGACTTGATGACACTAGCCTGTCATCCGAGTGATGGGGGCTGTAAGGCAGGAGGATTGCAAGGTTGGGCTCCGCTTGGGCAATTTAGTGACTGGGACCCTGTCTCAAATAAGAGATTAAAAAGTTCAGTATGAAGGCTCTATTTAGTCCCCAGATAAAAGGGATGGGATGGTCTTGTCAATATGAAGTTCATCTTTTGAAGTAGTCAAGGATAAAACTGTTAAGTTGACATCAGTACTCGAGTAGGTGCTTGATACCACTTTTTTTTTTCCCTCAGTATAACTTTCAAAATCACATACTATGATTCAATAGTTAGGAAACATACAAAGATGCCTCCCAATTCAGTTTAAAGAATGTATAAGGAAAGACATGAAATATTCTGAAGGTTGGCATGTTCCTGCTAACCCGCAAAGCAAGCATTCCTTAAGGACATGGGGAGAAGCTGGGTGCGGTGGTGTATACCTGTGATTCCAGTACTTGGGAGGCTGAGGCAGGAGGATTGCTGGGAGTTTGAGGCCAGCTTGGGCTACAAAGTGGGACCGTGAACCCCCCAACCCCAAAGGAAAAGAAAGAAGAGGTGGAAGAAGAAAGAAAGGCCCTGTGGATTTTCAGGTTCTAGAACTGGAACTGCTGTGAAAGAGGCAGTCACTGGGAAGGATTTTTTCTTTTTTTTTTTTCTTAAGAGGCAGTCACTGGTAGCAGAGGTTTACTGACAGGAAAGGTGGAAAGAGCTGAAAGTGGGAGTCTTGCAGAGCTGGAGCTGAGGTGACCTTTGAAGCCCTTTGAAGCGCTGCACTGCTGCACTGGGGAGGGCGTGGCTCTGGTAGGGCGCGGCTCCATGGTAGGGCCCATGTGGGATCCTGAATCCAATGTCCACATTTTTTTTAAAACTTGTTTATCAAGATTTCAGTGGAGCACATACAGATTAGACTGTACGTCTGTCCAGTTCAGCCAGCGCCGGGCAGGTGTGTTACAGCTGCTTGCCTTTAGGAAGGTCTTTAGCTTCTAGCTGAGGAGGGATGCAGGACCCCGGCTGACAGTTTGTGTCCCTTAACCTGGGCACTGTTACCAGAACAGAATAAGCAGGGACGTCAGAGTTGATCATTGGATCCACATTTCCAAATGCATGTCCTTCCACTTTCTAGGATGTGTGTGTGAAAACTACAAAATGGCCACAAACTGCAATCTGAACAGAAATGGTCAGTGCCAGTGTACCTCCTACGGCTCACAGACGCCCGTCATTTGCTCAACATGTGAGTAAGATGGTTGTCCTGCCCCGATAGTAGGCTTTTAGTTGCTGTGCCTTGAACCGGGAAGGGGCTTGTTGGCCTAAATCAGAATGGTATCATTTGTCACAGTAATCTCACATTTGGGGCGCCTTCAACTAATAGAGTGTGGGAAGATGAAAGTGTGAGGTAATGCTTGGCATGGAAGTAAGGAGTTAAAAGTGTGTTGTCCTCATACAGTAAATGCTGTAGTCACCTTGCAGTTTGAGCCTGAGCTTTTTTTTTTTTTTTGGTGGAACCGGGGATTGAACTCAGGTCCTTGCACTTGCCAGGGAAGTGCTTATTCCACTGAGCCATCTCCCCGGCCCTACCCCGAGCTTCTTTTGCAGTGGCTTCCAAATGCCTCGTGATGAAGGCAGAGATGATGCACTCCAAGGCGGGGAGGCGTGTGAAGCCTGAGGGTGCGATCCAGAACAACGACGGGATGTACGATCCTGACTGCGATGAGCGGGGGCTCTTCAAAGCCAAGCAGTGCAACGGCACGGCCACGTGCTGGTGCGTGAACACTGCTGGCGTCCGCAGGACCAACAAGGACTCCGAGATCCAGTGCTCCGACACCGTACGGACCTAGTGAGTGGGCCGCCGGGGTTACTTAGGGCTGGCATGCGCCTGGGATCTGTTTCACTTCTTTGGGGCAGAGATATAATTTCTGGTTTAGGATTCAGAAGGAAGGCAAGAGTACGTGGTGAGGGGCTGGTGAGATGGCTCAGTGGTCTAAAGCACCTACTTAGAACAAGCTTAGCAAAGCACAGGGACTTGCGGTTCAATCCCCCAGCACCACATGCCAGCCAGCCCCGCCCCCTGGTGGGCTGAGCTGGCCACACACACACACACACACACACACACACAAATAAGTAAATAAAAAAAAAATTAAAAAAAAAAAAAAAAAGTACGTGGTGAACGCATCTGCCCAGTTCCCCGTGCGCAGTGCGCGTCCAGACAGCTGATGGCGTCGGTTTATTCGAGAACTAGGGCACGCGATGAATTTCCCAGGTAGAGGCATTCTTTGTCATATACCTGGAAGGGTACTAGACAGAATTTTCTTTTCAATAGTGGTTCAGCTTTTTTTTTTTTTTCATGAATTTAGGACAGGATCTTCAGGGTATACGGGTCTCACTGCCTAGATCAGTTTGTAGTGATCCTCCTGTCTTCAGCCTCCCAAGGGCTTGGGTTACAGGCGCACACCAACATGTCCAGTCTCAGTCGTGTCTCAGTGTGCCCCACGGGGCGGGGCTGGCGTGGCAAGTTGGGGGTCGCACCCCGGCTGCTGCGAACGGCTCAGAATTTTACAGTGTGATTAATGTTAAGTATATGTAAACAACTTAAGCTATTTACATATTTACTTATTTTTCTTTTCAGATTGTAAATATTTGCTTATTTAATAAGTACACAGGTTTTTAAAATTTCTTTGAGAAGGATTTTGTTATATAGTTCAGGCTGGCTTTGAGCTGCCTCAGCCTCCTGAGGGCTGGGATTTTAACTTTGTGTTTGAAGAGTGAGGTTCGAGGGCTGATTTGACAGATGGTTGTTTGAGGGACTATTTGGTGAGAATCCCACTCAAATTAGCTTAAGCAAAGCCAACTTTACTAAATGATCAGGCCTAAAGTCTTCACGCTGCAGTTCCAAAATCTTTTGGAGCCTGGTTCATTTTTTTGTTTTCTCATCTTTCGTGTCTCTTTACTTGAACAGGGCGCAGTCTGGCCCCTCAGCCTCGACCTCATGGGCTGTAGGTGTGTCAGCCACAGGCCAGTGGTCAGGATTAGAACACACGTGCAGTCACTCTCTGTGAAGGGGGAGGAGAATGGGAAGAAGCCTGGGCAAAATCCCTGCTCTGTCAGCTTGGCTGTCACTCCAGCCCGAACGCCACTGAGCTGGTCAGAAAGGTCGGGTGTGGGCCGCTGACTCTGTCCTTTCACTTACAGCTGGATCATCATTGAACTAAAACACAAAGAGAGACAGCAGCCTTATGACCTTCAGCATTTACGGAGGTAAGTACAGTCTCATGCCCCCAGTCTGCCTGCACGGTGGCTTGCCACACCTGCCGTCCTACACCATTAGAAAAATTAAGTTAAAAATGCCATTTTTTGGGCTGGTGAGATGGCTCAGTGGCCTAAAGCACCTACTTAGAACAAGCTTAGCAAAGCACAGAGACCGCGGTTCAATCCCTAGCACCACATGCCGGCCGCCCCGCCCCCTGGTGGGCTGAGCTGGCCACACACACACACACGCACACAAATAAATAAATAAAATTAAAAAAAAAATTAAAAATGCCATTTTTTTTAGTGTCTATCAGTAGGGTTTTTTTTTTTTTTTTCTTTGCCTTTTTGAGATAGGGTGCACGGCTGCCGGCCTAGTACTCAGGAGGCTGAGGCATGATTGCCAGGAGTGTGAAGCCAGCCTATGCTACATAGTGAGACCCTGTCTAAGAAAAAAGCAAAAACAAAGAAAGTGGCAAGAGTGGGGGCCAGGAGATGGCTCAGTGGAATAAGCGCTTCCCTGGCAAGTGCAAGGGCCTGAGTTCAATCCCTGGTTCCACCAAAAAAAAAAGTAAAAATTATTTTACTTTACTTTTAGGCTTTTTTGAGATAGGCACTTGCTGTGCAGTTTAGGCTGGCCTTGAACTTACTGTGTGGCACAGGCTGGCTTTGAATTCACAGTGATCTCCTTGCCTTAGCCTCCTGAGTGCTTGGATTTTCATTTATTTATTTATTTATTTATTTTTGAGACAGAGTCCTGCTGTATAGTTTGGGCTGGCCTTCAACTCGCTTGTAGCCCACACTTGGCTGGAGCTCACAGCAACCCTCCTGTGGTAGCCAGCCTGAATGCTGGGAGGTAACAGGCACGTGCTGCTGTGCCCAGCAAAATGTTCTCTTTCTGTCTGTCTGTCTTTTTTTTGCGGAACCAGGGGTTGAACTCAGTCCTTTGCGCTTGGTAGGCAGGCACTTACTCTACTGAGCCATCTCCCCAGCCCCTCTATTTCTAATTCAGATGGTGCTCAGCACTTTCAAGATGAATGTATTGTACTAGCCTAAAGTGTTTTTTTTATTATGATAGTTGCAAAGTGGCATAAAAATTTTAATGGCTTAGCTCTACTTTGGCAGTGCAGTACTGAAATCAGAGTGATTCAGAGATTAGCGTGGTCCTTGCACAAGGATGATATGCAAATTTGTGAAGCAGTCCCTTTTTTAAAAAATGTATTTAGTAGAGGATCTATAGGATCTCACTACATAGATTGTACTCGGACTTGTAGTGATTCTCCTGTTTGCAGCCTTCCAAGTGCTGGGATTACAGGTTTGCACCACCACTCCCAGTCTCAATCCCCATCTCAGTGCGCCCCTGGGGCCCGGCCGGCACAGCAGGCGGGGGAGCAAACTCCCAGCCCCTACCTGGCCCCTGCGTCTGCCTAAGCAGGTGCTTTAGTCCACTGAGCTATCTGGCTGGCCCTAGCATTCCATATTTTAAAAGGAATTCTTTTAGCGACTTCAGTAGTGATGATTGCAGACTTTGAGCTGTGTGCTCAGTGAGGAGGGCTTCTTACCTGGTGTGATGGCGCCCTCGAGAAGCCGAAGCATTGCAGGCTGCATGTGGAGAAAAGACCTCGAACCCAGAGTAGAGCTGCTTACTGTCGTGTGATGTAATGCAGTTTTTAAACTCCAATTTCAAAAATTATTTACAGTGCGCTTCAGGAGGCAATCACAACCCGTTACCAGCTGAATCCAAAATATATCACAAATATCTTGGTAAGAGTTTTGGTAAATAATTCTTTTTTTTTTTTTTTTTTTTTGTGGTACCAGGGATTGAACTCAGAACCCTGCGCTTGGCACTTAGTCTCCCGAGCTAGCTCCCTGGCCCCCTGGTGAATAAGTTTGAGCAGAAATTTGGTGGGATGGTATGGTCCACGTATCAGCAAAGCCAGTGATCTTAGTGGTCATTAAATGTCTTTTAGTAACACTGTAAGTCCTGAGCATTTCTTTTGAAATTCCTGTTTTGAAAACCCCAGTTCAGGCATTGAAGAAAACACAACATCTCTTAGCGCCCCGACACCTGCGTCTGTGGCCACAAGAGCCTCCCACGCTGGCTCTTTGCGTGTTCTGTGGTGCTGCGCTTCCCCCAGCCTCCTTTTCTTTGGCTTTCTTTTCCATTTCTGTGGGTGAGGGTGCTAGTCCTCACCCAGCTATCCCCGCCCTTTTTTTTCCTTGTGGTATCGGGGATCAAACTCAGGACCTTGAGTTTGCCAGGCAGGTGTTTAAGCCACTGAACTATCTGCGTGGCCCCTAGCTAGCTAGCCCTTTTTAACTCCACCTTAGTTTTTAAAAAATGTACTATTATTGTTGATGAATTATTTCAATAGCTAGTGAAGAATTTAATTACTACTAATATAAAAGAACATTGATAAATGTACATTACACAAAATAAAAATCTGAATTTATTTTTTCTTTTTTTCTGGTCTAGTACTAGGGATTGAACTCAGGACCTTGAGCTTGCCAGGCAGGCTCTTATGCCACTCAGCTATACCCCTGGTCCTGACGATTCTATAAATAATATCTTAGTATAATTTTGACTACATTGATACTAATTTGTCTTTTTCATCCCCCTTCCCAGTATGAGAATAATGTCATCACTATTGATCTGATGCAAAATTCTTCTCAGAAGACTCAGAATGATGTGGACATAGCTGATGTAGCTTATTATTTTGAAAAAGACGTGAGTATAAACTGTTTGGGGGGGGCTCTCCTCAAGGCAGGGTCTGGCTGTGTGTCCAGGCTGGTGTTGAATTCACCTTCAGTCCTCCTGCCTCAGCCTCCGTCGAGTGCTGGGAGTGTAGGTGTGCGCCACCACGCCCAGCTTCAGTCTCCTTGTTTTACTGTGTTCAGCTCTTTTTCTGCATAATCAGATGAAGCATACTTGTACATGGTGCTTCTGCAACTGAGTTCTTCATAACCAGGAGTGGTGGCTCAGGCCTGCCCTCCCAGCACTCTGGAGTGGAAGGCAGGAGGACAGAAACTTTGAGCCCAGCCTGGGCAGTTTGGTCAGTTACAAAGACCCTGTCTCTAAGGGGCCGGGGAGATGGCTCAGTGGAATAAGCGCTTCTCTGGCAAGTGCAAGGGCCTGAGTTCAATCCCCGGTTCCGAAAAAAAACAAACAAACACAAAACAAAGACCCTGTCTCACAATTGGGGGAAAATAAAAAGAGATTTACAGGGCTGGGGATGGAGCTCAGTAGATTGACATTTTCATTTTTTATTATTTTGAGGCAGTTTCTAATTATAGGCGGCCATTGTTTTTCTAAATTTTATTTATTTGTTTATTTATTTATTTTGTGTGTGTGTGTGGCCAGCTCAGCCCACCAGGGGGCGGGGCTGGCTGGCATGTGGTGCTGGGGATTGAACCGCTGTCCCTGTGATTTGCTTAGCTTAGCTTGTTCTAAGTAGGTGCTTTAGACCACTGAGCCATCTCGCCAGCCCGGCCATTGTTTTTCTTAAGTGTTTTCTTTCTTGTCAACATAGGTTAAAGGTGAATCCTTGTTCCTTTCTAAGAACATGGACCTGAGAGTAAACGGGGAACAACTGGATCTGGATCCTGGCCAAACTTTAATTTACTATGTTGATGAAAAACCACCTGAGTTTTCAATGCAGGGCCTAACAGCTGGTGTGATTGCTGTCATTGTCGTTGTGACACTAGCAATTATCGCTGGAATCGTGGTGCTGGTGAGTACAGACTAGAGGAAACCTGACCCATGCTCCAGAACCTTCCAGAATCTGGAGCAGATGACTCCATGGCATTTCCTGTTCCTTTTTGCAAGTCAGACCCTTGAGGAGGAGGGAGTCTGTCGCTGAGCACCAGCCACAAGCCAGTTGTGTTCCACAGCAGCAGCCTGTGTGTCGCCAGGCTTAGGGCAGAATACCTGTGCTCCAGAAGCAGGCAGTGAGCTGGAACAACAGGACACGAGATTTTGTTGTTTTGGGAGTGGAGTAGTTGCTGGGAATGAACCTAAGGCCTTGGCAACCCCAGGCCAGTGCTCCGCCACTGAGACACGCCCCCAGCTGCAGAGCACAAGATTTCAGTTAGCATAGAGAATGGAAGTGGTAAGTTTGAAACAATAATTTTAAAATAAAAATTAGCAAATTTAATTTAGAGTGCTTTAGAAGTAGTACCTTGCTGGCCGTGGGGGTCCACACCTGTAACCCCAGCAGTTGGGAGGCTGAGGCAGGACGAGCACCAGGAGTTGGAGGCCAGCGTGGGCTACACAGTGAGTTCAAGGCCTGCCTGAACTGTACAGTGAGGCCCTGTCTCAAAAAGGAAAGAGAAGTGGAAATGATTTGATAGAGCTTCGTGCTAGCAGAGGCCGTGTAAGGCAAGAAAGCAAAACCCATGAAAGTTACAGAAAATTTAAGTAAACACACTTAAAAATAGTTACATTAAATATGTAGATATAAATATATATAGATAGTCATAAGCCTTTTTGGGAATAGGGCAGTATACTGGGATTTGAAGCCGGAGCCTCAACATGTTCTCGGTAAGTAACCTGACAGTGGGCTACATCCCCAATTCTTTGTGGGGTTTTTGGCAGAACTGGGGATTGAACTCAGGCTCTTGTGCTTGCCAGACAAGCGTTTATTCTACTGAGCCATCTCCCTGGTCCCTCCTTTGTGGGTTTTTTTTTTTTTTTTTGGTGCCTTGTGCTTGCCAGACAGGCACCTAGGCTGCTGAGCCATCTCCCGGCCGTTTTTGTTTTTGTCTAGTCTTGAACTCTTAGGCTCAAGTGAGCTTTCTGTCTTGCCAGAACTATCAGTGTGTGCTACCATGTCTGTACAAAATTAAATGAATTCACACTTTAGCGGCAAAGATATTGTGAAGCCAAAGATACTGATTCTATAATGGGAAAAATATTCACAGTCTACTTGTTTTTTTTTTTTTTGGTACCGGGAATTGAACTCAGGATATACACTTGCTAGGCAGGTGCTGTGCCACTGAGCTACATCCCTGGCCTCATGAAAAATATTCATAATGCATAAAATAAAGATGGATATTGTGCGTGATAAGCAAAGCTCTTAGAAATAGATGAGGAGACCTACAGATGGCCACAGGGATGGATAGATGATCTGCAGAAGAGTTTCAGATGACGGGCGGCAATCACAAATCTAAGTGTCCCGTGGAAAGGAAGTACAAGTGCAAACAGCAGGCACAGGGGCCGGGGAGATGGCTCAGTAGAATAAGCGCTACGGGGGCAGGCCCCCTAAGTGTTGACAGATTTTTAAAAACCTTTTGGCTATGAACCTTTGCTGGGCGCAGCACTGGTCACTTGGAGGCTGCAGAGTGAGACTCTGTCTCAAAAGCAAACAAACCCCTGAAACTGATGTGTGTCTTCAAAGCATATGTGTAAAAATGTAGACTAACTTTTTGTTTGAGTTGCCGTTCTAAGATGGTGTTCATTTTTCTCCCATTCAGATCATTTCCAGAAAGAAGAAAACAGCCAAGTATGAGAAGGCTGAGGTAAATAGATGACTTACGCTCTAACGAGGCCCTGTTTGATATCTTACTCCTGGTGATTGGACACTAATGGGCCCCAAGTACATGGAGGCCCTTTACATTCGGTTGGTCTTTGGAGGAGCTTTTTTTTTTTTTTTTTTTTTGCGGAACCAGGGATTGAACTCAGGCCCTTGCGCTTGCCAGGGAAGCGCTTACTCCACTGAGCCATCTCCCCAGCCCGAAATTTTTGGGTTTTTTTTTTGAGGAACTTTTACCTAACTTACTGCACCTTGTATTGAATCGTGCTTCATAAATTCCACGTTTCGTGAGCCTTGTGGGAGCGTGTACTCCAGGGGTAGTCACATTAGAGAACTCTGGGGACTAGTGAAGTGCTGTGTTTCTGCGACTGCAGGTGAAACTCAGGTGAACATGTCACTTGTCATAATCTGTCACATGCTAGCTACTTGTATGTAATAGTGGTGTGAGATTAGGCTGTTGGCGTGTTTGTCACTCAGAATCATTTTTTGGGGTTGGTTTTTTTTTGGTACTTGGCATGGAACTCACGATCTCACACTTGCTAGGCAGGCGCTCTGCCACTAAGCTATATCCCTGGCCTTTTCAGAATT